TTTTCGCCGGGAGACAGGCTCGTGACGCCGTCTCCTTCGAAGCCACCGCGGGTTGGCTACCAGTCCGGGAAGTCCTGAACCGTAAGAGTTTCCTTGTTGCGTTTTAAGTTCTAGGTCTCTGAAGTCTATAGATTTTGAAATGCTTGGTACAATTATTAAAGCTCGCAGCTTTTCTACCTGCATTATCTCTAATCTGAAAATGTGATTATGGAAGATGGTGAGGGCTTTTGTAAATGGGTTTCGTCGGCTTGCAGATTTATTAAGGAATTGGTGCTTGAAGATGTCGATAGGTTACAAAATATCACCATTGAAAGCTCGTCTTTGGAATCATTTCGGCTGCTCATGTTATCGGAGCGGCATCCCCTCCACCATCTTCATATCTCTGCTGAGAAACTTGAGCATGTAAATATAGCCTGCGTGACTCGAGAACTTAGGGGCAGGAGAATGGAAATTTCTGCTCCAAATCTTAGGTATTTGAAGCTGCATTGGAGAGGAATCAAGGTGATGAGCATTCGGAATCCAGGGGAATTTAATTGTTTGGAGAAAGCAGACCTTGAAGTTGACTCCATTGAGCACGGAGTTGATATGGATAACAGCACATCTCGTGACCAGTCCCTCCTCTCTAGGGTTATTCAGACTGTTAAGGTTCTTACTTTACGCTACAAATGGACTATAACAACTCTCTCCAAGGAAGGTTGCACTGCACCACCACTACATAATGTTCGGTGCTTGCGAATTAGTACTTGGATTTGTTACGAATCTGACAACAACCTAGTCCCAACAGTGGCCTCTCTTTTCAGAAGACTTCCTAACTTGAATACCTTGGAGATTTACGTATCCTATTTATTTGGCATACCAAAACATAGATTTGATAGGAGGTATTGGCAACTCCAAAACCTAGATTTTATATCTCAGCTAAAGGATGTAACCTTAGAGGTTTCTGAAGGGTCTAACGACTCTAATCTAATCGAGTTTGCAAGGTATGTGCTCGAACATGCTCAGAATTTGAAGAAAATGGTTGTGATTTGTAAACCCAGTGAATCAAGGTTGTTAAGTTTAATAAGGTCAAGCATGAGTATTTCCAATGCCTCAGTTGTCTTTCTGGAAAAAGGCTCTAAGAAAAGCCAAAGCGAGGGAGCAGGGAAAGAGCACGACCATAAGCGCAGTAGTAGTAGGTATTCTCTCGCCAGTATATGCAGCTAAAAGTATTAAGCTATATTACGATTACTTTTAATTTTTATGGAAAACTAATAAAAAAGATTTGAAAACTTTGAGTTTTAACGATAAAGATAAAATAAAGAGTAAAGTGAATAGTACCATAATTGACTTTTTAGTGTAAAAATCTAGTTTTTCGTTAAAGTGAATAGTACCGAGAGCTTTTCGTTAAAGTTTCTTTTATTTTTTCTATTCTGTTTAATGTCAATTTTACATTGTGAATGTTCAATAGAATTTCTTATTTATTCATTTTCAAATTGATGAATGTTAGCAATGGTCATAGGTTCAGTTATGTTTTTTGTATGGTTTTATTTCAACGTTTATGCTTTTAGTGAATTGAATAAATTAATAGATATGTGTATTTTGACGGAATAGTTTCTTGATATTTTGTCATACATATTTTGATTGGGAATATTCCTATAAGAAATTGAATGGGTTTCATGTTTCCAACCTCTACAATGAAAATTTGGTTTCATGTTTCCAACCTCTACAATGAAAAATTAATCATAAAATGATTTCATATTGAGGGAATTTAATTGTCATACCTTTCAGCTGAGTTATAAAAAGGATCTCATAATGTTTAGTTGATGTGCTTTGGTGACACCTGTACTCAGGTTTAGCAAGCATCTCATAATGTTTGGTAGTACTTTGGTTTCCTTTATCTTTAAAAGAAGGGATCCTCATTTTTTTTTTTTTTTTTTTTATTTTTTTTATGAAAATGGGGTTTAGGTGTATTGTCCACAGTACATTGAGCTTTAACGTTGAACCGTTTATTTTTCAAGTTGCACCTCATAGATCATCTTTGCAAAATATTAGTCAAATCGGAAGTGTTTAAGACATTTAATTAGGTTCAAAGAAATTAACAAATACTTTGTTATATAAAAAATAATGAAATTTTATCTTGATAATTAAATAGGTAAATGGTTTCGGATTAAACTCAATTTTTGCAAGGATGATCTATGAATTGAGACTTACAAAATAGATGTTTGGATCCTTGAAGTTCGATGTTGAGTGAACCCACACCTAATCCCATTTTTTTGAAAAAAAGAAAAGGAAAAGGGATCCCTTTGCATAAAGGCTTGCTCCTTTAAATTTTGAATTGTAAATCTCATGAGGTTGCTAAGAAATTGCGTTTGCACGATGGAATGAGGATCATCTCCAGATTCTCTTTGTGAGAATCCTGAGGATTCTCCAATCACATCCGTTCATCGTATATCGTGCAGCTAGTTTTCATCAAGTACTGTTTATATTTAATCTTAAATAAAAAGATTTACAATGATTTATGACCATACAATATACGATAAACGGATATGATTAGAGAATTCTCAGGATCCTCAAAAAGAGGATTCGAAGAGGATCCTCATTTTGCACGATGAAATTGCCATGTTCAAGATTTTTTTGTTTAATGTTAAAATTTCCACATGGCAATCAATCCACGTGGCATTTCTTAAACCACGTGGCATCTTAGGTTCTACGAGTGGGATCCAAATTGTAAGATCTCATATCGTCCAGGGGAGTGACCCTTATATGTATATTCTCATCTCTATCTAGCACGAGGCCTTTTGGGAGCTCATTGGCTTCGGGTTTCATCGGAACTCCGAAGTTACGCGAGTAGCGTGCGAAGAGCATTCCCAGGATGGGTGACCCATCAGGAAGTTCTCGTGTGAGTTCCCAAAAACAAAACCGTGAGGGCGTGGTTAGGGCCCAAAGCGGACAATATCGTGCTATGGTGGAGTCGGGCCGGGGAAGTGGTCCCGCCCGGGCCGGAATGTGACAATTTGGTATCAAAGCCTAACCCTGGCCGTGGTGTGCAGACAAGGACGTCGGGCCCCTAAGGGGGGTGGATTGTAAGATCCTACATCGCCCAGGGAAGTGATCCTTATATGTATATTCTCATCTTTATCTAGCACGAGGCCTTTTGGGAGCTCATTGGCTTCGGGTTCCATCGGATTTTTGAAGTTAAGCGAGTAGCGCGCGAAAGCATTCCCAGGATGGGTGACCCATCGGGAAGTTCTCGTGTGAGTTCCCAAAAACAAAACTGTGAGGACGTGGTTGGGGCCCAAAGCGGACAATATCGTGCTATGGTGTAGTCGAGCCCGGGAAGTGGTCCCGCCCGGGGCGGGATGTGACACAAATCCTCTCCGGATCCAAGGATCCTGAACCTAAGGATCAAATGATTCGACCTGTTGAAATTTGATCCAACAGTTACAAACAGGAGGCCCGTTTAAAAGTTATAATAATTGTAGTCGTTGGATCAAATTTCAATGGACCGGATCATTTGATCCTTAGCCTTAGGATCTGGATCCTTATGAGTGCAACTTTTGGCAGGATAACTGGGAGTGATTTTTCAATGTGATCGGTACATGGGGTAATACACCACGTGTTATTATACAAATTGTGAGATACGTGTGTTAAAAAATTAATAACTTAAAGAATAAAATTTCACCACTTATATAAAAACACGTGGTGTACCACTCGTGTTCCGGTCACAATAAAAAATTTCTCGATAACTGGGTCTGATTGGGTGATGTGGTTACTAACAGTAGTGAAAGTGGGGAGATGCTAAAGTTTAGGTTGTGCGTGCTTAGAGACTTCCAATATGGGTCTACATTTATAAGAGGAGACTGTATCAATGATCATTCAATTTTAATTGAATTTGGAGCAATGGTTCCTCAATTAAAAATCTGTAACCAATGATCCCTTTCTCATCAAAGATTCAAAACGTACGGATAAGGTCCCTTTCATTAACTCCGTCAGAAGTTCCGTCAAAATTGAGTCATGTTGAACACAAATGAGATTGAATCAAGGGCTAATATGAAAAACTAAATGAGAAAATTATAGCAATAGTCTCTCAACTTTAACTGAATTAGAGCAACAGTCCCTCAACTTTAACTCAACTGAAGCATTGGTCCCTCAACTTTAACTCAAAGTTCTGATGGAATTAACTAAAAAAAGTATAGCTACACGTTTTAATAAGTTAAGAGATTAATAATCATAGATTATAGTTAAGAGACCAACACTCTAAGTAATTAAACTTAAGAAACTAATACTACAATTTTCTCAATTTATAAATTGTACTAATTTTATAAAATGACCACAAACTCTGAAAATTAGAAATACTTTTGTCTCATGTGCAAATTGCTCTAAAAAGTACAAAGACCTTTGTCTCATGTGCAAATTGATCCCATCGATACGTTTTGATATTTATTTTCTTCCCAAAACCCCTTTATTAATAATATCATATAGAATTATACAATATTGTATGCACGTAAGGTGCACCAAATACTTTTTATTTTTGCAAGTTGGGTACAACATTTTGGATGAAATTAATCATCTAATTTTAGCCCCTAGTTGCTAAAATGATTAGCTCTTGACACATGGTTGATATTTGAGCGATACGTCGTCACCAAGGAAATTTGATTTTGGTCGAAATTTAATCAAAACTTTGAACCACATGGTTATGGGATGACACAAACGTCATCGATATTTGAGGGGTTCATACATAAAAAATTTCCCATCACATCTGTGGTCTCCAACTCTCTCTAAAGTGCAAGTGGCCCTTATCACAATGATGAAAATGTGTTGAGCCCTTACATGACGGTGTAGATTCAAACCCCATCAGTAGCTAATCTAACTATCTAATCTAACAACATCTATTGTTTGACCAAAAAACACTCTCTAAAGTCGTATGCAGCCGTTCGGACATAAGTTTATGAGAATTTAGGCAACGCAAAAAGTCCAAAAGGACAAACCAAACAGGCATACATGATTCATAAGTCCGAGGAGAATAAATTTGAGAATTTAACCGGAAATTTCAGATAATGTAACATGAAGAAACCTCCATGTCTTTGAAGTGTGAGAAGTTAGTATTATCCGTCTCATGTACAACCCACTTCTGGGTGTGACCATAACCTTAAAACCACGAAAGCTGCAGGTCGATTTCGATTGCTAAAGCAATAATTGGGATGGACCATATAAAAAAAGATCGTCTACGATGTATTCAAGAATTTAGGGCCTCAAGTTGCTTTCGAAGATCTTCTAGGTCGTCGATAGTACCCTCTGTAGCTTCAGTTGGCGGTTTTTGAAACTCATCTGCACTGGGGAGCTCGCGAACAAGACCTTCCGGAAGTGCATCTGATGACAAGTGATGATGAGAAAACAAGTGATTCATAAATTTGGAAACTCATAAACAGATCAAATATAAAAGGAATTGTAAAACCCTACAGAATTTCGGTTTTAAAAGGTGGAAAAGTGTTTTGAGTGAAATCAATAGAACTTGAAACATTAAAGGATAAATCACCTGAAGTTGTGGCCTCTGTACTTTCCGGCTCGGTGTCATCAACAACACTGCAAACAAACACAAACCAAACGTATGTTTTCATTTCCATGAAACTAGTCCTCGGAAATGCGTGTCATTCTTTTTATATGCAACTTAGGAAACATCCCTGATGCGCGTAAGTATTAACATGAAGAAACATTAACTACTAAATACGAAGAACGTTCCATTGTTGGTAGAAGTACCTTATTTCCCATTCATTATCAAGATGAAGTGGAGATTCCGGAACTGATGATGCTTCAGCTTCCATCTTTGCTTTAATTGCAGCATCCCTAGCTGGCTTTACAAGCAAGTATTCTTTCTGCACGGTAGTCATTGCCTCAGCGTCAATGACAAACCAATTAACCAGATGTTTAAATAATCATTAGGTTCAGTTCGGGTGCCCAAGGCTGGATCTTAGTTTCTTTACCTGCCGTTCCAGACAAGCAAAATTAGAACACTGAGGGTTTGGCTTCATTTCCATAGTTGGGAAGAAGTCTTTAAGAGAATTATATCCCTGCAACCAAGAAAATCAAAATTTAGGCGGATCAGCATGGAGCAGTGACGAAACATTTGATGCTAAATGTTAAAAATATAGATCTATGAACTTATTAAATCCTTCGAGATGTCTTTGCCAAATAAAAGCAGAACAAGAGAGAATAAAACATACGACTTACCAAGTATGGGGAGACGTTTCCGAAGTTCAGCAAGTATTTTAGTGTATTTTGGACTAGAAGCCCAGCAACAACTCCCTATAAGATGAAACGAAAGTTAGTTGCTATTGCTATACGAATAACAGCTGTACCATTGTCCATAGTACCACAATATAAATCTGAAGCAAAGTACCAGTGCAAACCCAAACACTAATAAGTTTGAATTAACAAAAGTCCCAAGAAGGGAGAGCCACCAGAGATTGGAAAGGAAACCTTCTTACCATAGTGGTAGGTAAAGATGCAGCACAAACCCCTTCACGCTTAAGTGTACGTTCATCCACTCCAGATGCTACAACCTAAGGAAGAGATACAGAAGAAGAAAAAAGTTATCACTCTTCCAGCATTCATGTTCCATATTTCTCACTGAGAATCCTCCAACATCATCAAAATTCAAACAAAAACAAAAAAGCATACCAAAGGTGGTGCACATGCAAAACATGCAGTTTCACCAGGAATCAGCAACTGAATATGGCCTGAAACGGCATCCTCAGACACACCTGTCAAAGTTTATGTTCTTCATGTGAATTTCCACGTACATTATAACTAGATTTCGTATAGATGTGTATTTCAAAAATTTTCTTTTTTCAAGATATAGCCTGTATACCTCTTTGATTAAGAAAAACACATGCAGAATAAAGTTTGTATGTCTAACAAATGCGAGTACCATATATTTCATACATACAAATGATACATGCACATATATCTACAGCTGAGATGCATCTGATCAACTGTGCACTTCAGCCTTGTATATCTGATCTAGATGTGGGTATCTTAGGTCCTGATTAGATCTCACCAAACATGAATCTCAATGCATGTCGCACACCATGGGACCTTCAGTTAACGCTTAGGGTAATACAATTAGTAACTACTTTGCTTACCAGACTCCATCCATGTCTGATTCAGTTCATTGCAAGCCTGTATCAGACAGGGAAAGAAATTAGACAAAAGTTTTCTTGGAGGCGGAAGGAACGAAGACAACCAACTATACAACCTCATACCTGATTAACAGCCATTCTTGCTTCATAATTATCAACACAGCTTAACACAAGGTCTATTCCAGTGCCTTCTTTATTTGGGCGAAACGATTTATTTTTTAAACTAGACATAAAGGTATCAAAACCTTGCACTGTTGTGATGTTCAGTGTATAGCTCTAAACACAAAGAAGTTGATCAGCACGGTTATAAAATATAGGCACTATGTTTGAACAATTAAATATACAAGGATCCGTACTAATAGCATCAACATATAATCACTCATCTACGCCTAGAAACTACAGATGGAAACTCAAGATTGGATGCATTTTACAGAGATAATGAAATTAGATAGAAGAAAAATCATGAGAAATGATTACCTCGAGTATAACATCGGGATTTATGTCTGAAAGGGTCTGTACAGCAGCATCTGTTTTTGTCATGCCACTCTGAAACGGAAAAAAAAAAAAAATCACATTAAAATTTTAATCATGAAGTACTTGGAAATTATAATGATGATCGCAGCACCTAACCTTTGAAGCAGAAAATGACATGACTGAGACAAAACTAGTGAAGACAATTCAAAAACAAAGAATGACGAATGAGAAAAACAAGTATCAATACCTGTTCTGGTCGAAAGAATAACCTATTCATGTTAGCTAACTCTACTTTGTCATAATCATACAACAAAAGGCGACCAATACCACATCTTGTAAGCATCTCAGCTGCTACACTTCCTACACCGCCTACTCCCTGCAAACAAACCAAATAGGACATCAGGCATTGATGTAACAAAATTAAATTTCGTTCTACAATAACAGAAGGAACACTAAAAGAGGAGATAAATACAGACAACAATGGCAACTGAGAAATCCCGTATTCTTTCATAGTTCTCCACAATACCCATCCTCTGAAGTGCCATAAGCCTACTGTAAGGATTGCTATCTACCACCTCGGCGCTCATATCCTGTCAACACAAACATGTAATGCATGAACCAACAATACAATCATCATCACACATTTTGACAATGATAGTAGATAAACCGTAAAATTACCTTCACTTTTGAACGCCGGACAGGTCCAGACTTTGAAAGGCTCGTAAGGCGTTCTACGCGCAATTGTAGCTACAAATTACATTTTTCATGAAGCAAAATGAAAAGTCAGTTCTACAAGAAAAAATTACAAAACTATAAACTCATCCTTTAAACTTATCAGCATTCGGCGAGCTGAAACTCACAATTTACTAAATTTTCATAAATTAAACTTCAAGCTGAACAAATATAAAATCAATTATCCTTGTTTCTTTCTCTTAATTTTCTCAGGAAACAAACAACCACCATAAAACTAAACTAATATAACATGCAACCAATAAACAAGCAATCCTAATCAAATGATTGCGCATATATTACTGAAAATTATCACAGATTAAAAACCGGCACCTGAATTTTCACATGAACAATTAACAATATTTAATAAAACAAAAAACTGATCCGTTTCAGCCAAATCAAGCAGCTAATTCGATCGAAACCAGTAAAATCCAAACCAAAAGCTCTCACAAATTCTCATCTGTATCTCAAACGAATCGGAAATGCGAGATTTCACCTTATCGATTGGAGCATGATGAGAAGGATCGGCCAGCGATCTCTTCAGCGATTCCAGATCGTTCAGCATCTCCTTCAGTTCCACCTCCATTGCCTCTCTCTCTCTCCTCCCTCTCCCTCTCTCAAAAACGCTCTTAAATTCGGTCCTATTCGGATCGCTACCTTCCTTGCGAGAAGCGTTTACATGCGATGCACTTTACCGTTGCGATTTTTTTTTTGGCGGAATTGGAATTTGGCAGCGAAGGAATTGCCGGAGCTGGTCTGCGAGTCTGTGAGACTGAGTAGTGGACCAACAACAAACTTTGCTACCCTTTGCGTTGTTGGGCTGGGTTGAGGCCGGCCCAATTATAATTTGGGCTGGAATATTGGGCTCATGTATGACCGCAAAGTACGCTTTTGGGGTGGTGGGGACAGAGTTCCACTTTCGTTTTTGTTGATTAACGAAATTAAGCTATTATTATCCTTGGTCAAATTAGTAAGCTACACGACTTAAATTGTGACAATTTAGTGGTGTCCATTGGGATATAAGGTCAAAGTTGAACTTCGTTGCCAATAGCAGTATGGCAAGTGATATTCCTCGTCACATGAAGTGGGAGGTTTCATGATCGATTTAGTTTGATGATAAGTTTGATATCTAATTATTATGAATGCTTCATTATACATGTTAGCTTAAATTTCGCACCCTTAATGTAGAATATTGTCGTATCAACAGTATAACTTCATCCAAACTACATGAATCAAAGTCATTATTTTCCCTTTGTATGTAACGTAAAGGTGGAGCCTAAAGTGAAGAAAACCTTTCGACTTATTGTAATATTGTGTGCAATTGTGCATCCCGACTTTTGTTCCTGCTGGCGAAATTTCAGATGGAATTATCAATCATACAGTTTGATACGCCACCCCAACAGCCACCACCCAATTTTTTGTCAACCATATATTTTCATGTTTTAGTGGGTCTAAGTTGTAGTCTTGTACAACTTCCCACACTTTTCTGTTTTCATTTTGTCCTCTCTCTAGAATTCTAGGACCATTTTAATCCTAAAGAAAAATTGATGGGAAGTAGGAACATATTCTTTGGTGCACTGAACCAAGTAAAAGCTTTCATGAACTTGGACTAATTCAATCCTGGGTATCATAGTGTCTGTTCGTGATTGAGATACGATTGGAACTGAACAATGAATCTATTCTAATTTTATTTCTTCCCATTTAGGACAACACCAAACGCAACTCATATACAACTTTTACTATGATGAATCCCATGTTCTTCATCAATTTAGATGTATTCGATCTTACGTATAACATGTGTGTGTGTATGTATGGTATGTAGTGTGTGGTATTTACAAGGTCATCATTTTGTAGTCTTTGGCTTTGACCAAAAGCAGACAAGCAAGCTGTTGTCATTTGTCAGGAATGCAACCTTATAGCTGCAATAGCAACAGTAAAGCTCATGATAAAACCGATAGCGTACCACATATCATGGTATTATTCATATATATGTGGCCTTAGCGTGCACAAAAAGGAAGGTGCACTCCTAGGGTTCTAGCTTCACAATTGATCACAATCCACATTTTATGACCTAAAAACCTTACCCAACACTAAATCAATCGATCGATCGCACAGATTTGGTGTCAGTTCGGATGTTAGCAGCCGAGCTTTTTGGCCTCAGCATGCCGCGGCAAGAGAAGCAACAGCACCATCCATGTATCATTACAAGAATGAATGCCAATCAAGTAGTGAAGTTTCACTGCATATATTCTTCGTTTAGTAGTGAAATTATTGTTGCACAAAAGTTGCAGATAAATGGGTCTCTAAAATTTGTTTGGATAGATTTGGGAATCCTTCAACAATGAGCATTGTTTTACAAATAATTTAGGGTTTAAATTTATCATTGAGTCTTTTTCACTCAATATGCATGCATGTGAAGAAGCACTTGGTGTTGTGATTATGCCCCTCAACATGAGTTATAATCACTTGTAAATTCTCTTAACAAACTTGTACACTGCTTTTGAATAGAACAGCTTATATAAAACGGATTAACCGCTAAATGACATGCTTAATAATGAAGTATTATGTCAATAAAAAATTTATGCATGACATACAATGACTTAACAAATCCCTTTCATATACATCCATATCGATTTTAAAGAGTGGTTTATCCTTCTACCTCAAATTCTCATAAGCACACAAAATAGTTAATTTAAGATGTGGGGAACCTTACATCAGTCAGTCACTGTCATTCCCTCTTGAGTTGCGAAGTCAATAAGCGAAATCTATGACACTCATAAATTTGCATCATTTACTTGCCCAGGTATTTGAGAAAACAATCATATGAATATAAAACAAGAACAGATGACCGACCATGCTCTAGAAGTTATCTAAAAAATTATTAACCCCTGATGATGCAACTTTGCTTGTTGTTATGGCTAATTAGTAATTAACTCCTCCTAATTAATATATATATATATATGATATAAATATCTGTGGGTATATCTGTCTCTTTTGAGACGTGGGTTCTCACTTCTCATTATGTTTTTCTGGCCAGGAGACGATGAAAAATATTAAAACAAATATTTAATCGTATTATAGTTGCTCCGAAAGTACCGTTGTTAGTTAATTAGTATGTGTTCTTATGTATAGATTTATATATTAGTACTGTCGTTGGAGACTCAAGTGAGGTCTTCATATATTAATTAAGCAGCTAGTCTTCTGATTGGGATAACTTGCAGAAGAAGATGGACATTATTTAGATGTTTATGCAGCACGCAACGCAACCACGTATATAATTGAATCGCATGGATGATGAACAAGTTAATGTCGACATTTTCTATTGATTTAATCGTTAAAACAATAACTTTCTTCATCAACTGAGATTAATCATGGCTGACTTCTAAGTTCTATATCTTTCTTTATCAAATGGAATTATTAATTGTCGCCCAAGTTTCTTTTCGCGAGAAATTTTAGTAAAATGTGATATATATATATATATATATAGCATTACTCAAGTTTCACACATAATATCGTATGTACATCATATACTTACGTAAAATCGTCCATAAATGTAGAGATTTTTCACAATGTGAAATTTCCATAATGACGCCACAATGGAATGACAAACATATCCTTTCTCTACTTAAAGTTAAATCGATATCTAATATCGTAATGCATACTATCAAGTTCATACTGCACATAAAAGTATAAAGAGTAATGTGTAGGTAGATCAAATTTTAGACCAAATTTGCAAATCATGTGATATGTCATCAATAGAAAATAAGCACGTTAATCAGCACTTAAGTAATAATTCAATCATCAACAATCACGTCATATGATTTACATAATTTGATCTAAATAATTAATCTTCCTAACATTAACCGAGTATAAAACATGTCAACTAGATGAGCCATCGCACACCTAATTAAAAGATGTGGACAAGGGTTTGGTCGGTAATATGGTACAAATAATTTTGATTAACAAATTTGTCACTTAGCGTTAGCGTAACAAAACTATGGCCGGACCCCAAAATTGAAAAGATCTAAGTCTACTTTCTCACGAGGCTTCAATAATGATGCATGTATATAGCCAACTAACTGGTTCTAATTATTTGAGGTCTTTAGCATTAGCCATATGTAATCCATTAAACGACGTCGCAACTACCTTAAAAAGCTTAAATTGATTGATGACATTGCCACCTTAACCTAATAGGCAAAAGATTAAGCCAAGTGTTTGAACATGCAGTTAGCCTAATAGCCTCCTTTCCAGATTAGTTTAGTGGTATAATTTTGTCCTGGACCAAAGCACCTACATTGCGACTGCTTTACATCATGGGGGTTTTAATTAATTAATTAATTAATTAACCATTGATTTAGCTACTTGTGTCTAGATTATGATTGAGTTAAACAAAATGATTATAAATCTGAATAAATAAATAAAACAATAAAGGATAAAGCCTAAAGAGATACAATTGTTAAATTGTTAATATCTGAAATGTCAAAGGTGAATGCATGCTTGTGGCAAATGGCGGCAATGCAGCACTCAGTTTCCACCAAACTGTTTTGAAATGGGCAAGAGTTGTATTCCACCAACAGATCCACATCGTCACGCCTTATCCAAATCCTCATTTCGATAACCAAACTGTAGAGGTTTGGAATTTTTTTACTATTTTTGGTATTCAATTTTCGTTCACGTCCCCACAGAGGTGAAATATATATGTATCCACGTTAATAACTTGGTTTGCAAAACTTTCCCACCTCACAACTTGCACCATCATGCCCTAGGGTATGAAATGTGTAATCAAGATAAAGATGCGGGCAGATGGAGACATCGTATTAGGGCTTTGACTCTGATGAAATGTTTTGAGTGCATGAGACGGTAATATTAGAGTGATTTTTGAAAGAATCGAATCGGAAGTAACAAGCAGCATTTTCATGAAGAACTGTTTCTTTGTTTTATGCATATAAATGATGAAAAGGTCTCCAAATTGAATTATTATTTTGCATATATTATCTTTAAATGATGATAGAAAGCATGAACTATTCCGACTACGATGCTTAGATGGTAAAGATTCGTTAATTGTAAGTAGAGAGGACAAGTAGGTTTTTCTATGGGAGAACACAAGTATTATCATTCGGTATATGCTTATGTATAAATTCATTAAATTTCGTGGTATACTATAGTATGTTTATGCTTTTTTTTATACACAAGTGTATGATTAATATGAAAACCAGGAACGAAATGTATCCACAACTAACATTAAAATACAAAAGTTAATTATAAATTACTTAACTTTAGAAAATAATTAACATTAAACATCAAAATATTTCATAATTATTTTAACGAAATAAGTTTGAAACACTTAGAAATTTTTCAAACCGGGAATCTGGAATTGTCGAAATCTCTAATTAAATGCAATCGAATTTTCCCCATTTCAAATTTTCAGAATAAAAATACCATTCCAACTTGGACCTTAGTTAATACCGCCATGTGTTATTTGTACGAGTGACGTAATTAGTTTATTTATAAAATAAGATAATAATAAAAATACTTATATAAAATAAACAACTATACTTTGTGCAACGACACTTTACGCGACAAAGATTGGCGTCGCGCAAAACTGTTTTGCGCAACGTAGGTGCACCTGCGTCGCTCAAGTTGCCGTCGCGCAAACATGTTTTTGTACTAGTGTTAGATTAATAATACTACATAACAATATTGCAAAAAGTCTAGAAAAATGCCTCCTACATTATATAATAATCCCCAACAACTAATATTTGCATGAAA